ACTTCCACTTCCACCATTTTCCTTGATAGGGAAGAAGTACAAAAAAAGTTGAGGAGTTTTTTTTCTTTCTTTGCACCTGCAGCATGGATCCCTCTCATTCCTTCTTGCTTTTATTTATTTTTACTTATTTTTCTGGGGGTGGGGGGAGGGGCCCAGGGAAGGGACAGAGAGAATCTTAGCAGGCTAAATGCGCAGAGCCCGACGCAGGGCTCGATCTCACGACCAGAATGGAAATCAAAGGTCGGTCACTTAACCCACGGAGCCACCCAGGCACACCGCCCCCCTTGCTTTTAAAATAAGCAAGCCCTGCACCCTCTCCACTTGTGGGCCTCAATTCGAGTCCCCACTTACGCCCACCCTGGGCGCCCCACTCCCCCCGCTCATGCCCCCCACCCCCAGCTTGCTTCAATGCTGTGCTCTCATTTTCTGAGTCTTCTAAGAACTTGGGCTTAGCACACAGCCACTTACTCGGCTGCCTGCCCATTTCCCCTCCATTTGCTCTCACATTTTATTAATAGTTACACTGACTGAAATAGCTGAGCAACAAAATACAGTAGCGACAGGTCATAACGGAAGAGCACACGCGTGTTCACATGTCTGTGCTGACACGAATGAATACATAGTGGGAGGGAAGGGACGGCGTCCCTGCAGAGGCGACCCACCCAACCCCCGGAGCGAGCGTGCTCTCAGGCCGGCCGCAGCCCCGCACACGTCACGTGCTGTGCCCAGTGACTTCGAGGACGACGGCACAGACGTGGAGAAACCTGAAGACGACTGCGGCCACGAGGTGACCCGTGTTACAGTCCACAGAGCTGAGACTTGCTAAGTGTATGCACCCTTTGTGGGACAGGATGAAAGGGCACCTCATCTCTGTGGCCTCCCTTCTAAAACCCAGAATCCCAGTCGAGGGTGAGAAAAACAGCAGGTAAATCCCAACAGCAGGGTCTCCTGCAGAACACCTGCCCAGTGCTCCCTAGAGCCGGTAAGGCCACAGGAGCAAGGGAACTCCGAAACACTGCCACGGCCCAGAGGAGCCCAAGGAGACGCGGTGACCCGATGTCACGGGAGAGCCTAGGTGGGATCCTCGGACAGGAAAATGACATCAGGTAAACAGTAAATCTGAATGAACTTGGGCTTTAGGGGACAATCATGAATCAGTACTGGTTTGTGAACTGTGACAAGTGTTTGCCACCCTGATGGGAGATGGCAGGAATGGGGGAACCGGGGCCTGGGGTGCCTGGGAAGTCCAGACACACTTCACAGCTTTTCTATAAATCTAAAGCTACTCTAGAATAAACATTCTATTAGAAATAGTTACTGCTGGCAGAGTACTGCTAAAAAGTCATATTGCCGTTGTGAGGGAATTCTTAATGCTCCCCTCTGCACCTCAATCTTGGGAAGTTTTATTTATTTCTGAGCCTCTCATCACTCCTGAGGTGTCACCATGTAGAATCTGAGAGCACCAAATCCTATCTTTATCTGAGTGACCAGGCTTCTCTGGAAGGGCTGGGACACGTCCCCCTTCTCTCCTGGGCCATGTAAGATGCTGTTGTCTCTCGGCTCCAGACCGGAAACGTCTGGCCTGCGACTGTCTCTGGACCAGCCGTGAATTACTGTCAACTAGATCGCGTGGTGACTAACTGTGGTGATTCTTCCTGACGTGGCATCCTGGGGGACCCGCCACGGCTGCCCAGACGCATACTTTCTCGCACAGCATCCCAGGAGGACCGCCAGCAGCAGTCTGCTTGGACCCGGCATGGACCCCCCACGTGCCTGGAGGCTACGCTGCCCGCCGGCCCTCTGCCTTCAAGCATCTGCAGGGACGTGCATCCTTTCGGCGTCTGTGTGCCACCCGGGTCCACTGCGCCGAGGACACCATGCTGAGTGGGCCAACAGGCAAGAAGAAGCAACACTCCAGACGATGCTTCCATGGGCCGTAAGGAAACCAGAGGGTGAGTTCCCAGGGTGAGGGGACGCTGGGGCACTTGCAGCCCCTGCAAGGGAAGTTCAGGTTGTTGCCACACCCGCCAGACACACATCGCAGGGGGAGGTCTTCTGGAAGCAACAGGCACCAAGAAGCGGCTATGCTGACACATTCACTGAGTGGCCCAGAAATGCTGTTCTCAGGGTGACCAGAGCAAGGGAAGGCCTGGCAACAAGTCCAGGCTCCTCATCCACACGGGCCTGTCACCTGCAGCGTCCACACGAGGGATCCTGTCCAAAGCCCCATCAGACCCCAGCAGGAGACCCCGAGGGTCTGAGAAGAGGCTGAGAAGAGCAGCAGGAAACCACGCCTTCTTCTGTGGACAGTTCCCGTCCCTCTGAGAAGCAAATCCCGGCTTGCTCCCGGGCCTGCGACAGACGGAACGACGGACCATGAGCTGCCGAGCAGCCGTGCGGCCTGCGCTCCCGTGGAGAACGGGCTCCTCTGACCGTCGAGCAGCACGGCCGGTGGTCGGCAAGTGGCGGCGGCGTGTCAGGGACGCAGCTGCCTCCTCTTGCTCATTCCGCGACCACGGGCCGCGGGTGCTCCCCATGGACGGCTGCCGTCGAGGGAAAACCTGGCTGGCTTTACAGACCGGCCGGCCCCAGGTGGGGGCACAGCTGCGCCCCTCCTGCTCCACGTGGAGCGGCCCCAGGACCCCATGAGGGCAGCACTGCCCGTGGGGAGGACCGCAGGCTGTGCGTCTGGCTTCCACGCTGTCGGGATGGAGACGGATGCTGGTCCTCAGTGAATTCCAGTATGAAACGGGCATTTTGCCGAACCCGACCACGGAGCGTCGAGCTGGCCTCTCGGAGCCAGAAGCTGGAGGCTGAACATGTCTGAGACTCTTCTTTTCCCTCATCTGGGGGAGCCGCTCACCCCACTCTTCTCGCGTCTGTGCTCGTCTCCCAGGTCTGGGTGCATCTAGGACGTAGGGCTCTGATGCTCTGTACCCTCACAATAACGCACTCATATACTTGTCTTCTTCTGCGGCTTGCTTTTTTACTCAAAACCTATTCTTGACAAACACTTCTTCCGTTCCTCTTCATGGCGACGAGGTATTATTCCAAGAGATGCTACACCAGGATTTACTGAACCGGTCTCTCAGGGCACGTGGGCTGCTTCCGGTCGCCTGCCGTCCCCTTGTGGTGCTCTCTACACTTTCTCTGCCCTCGAGATGTAGCAACGGCTACTGCCAAAGCCTGTGTCTAGAAAATACTCACACCTTTCGAACACATGTTTAACTCTGCTCTACCCATGACACGCCCCCGCCCCCTATTTCCCTGGTGACAAGGTTTGGCTCCTTTGATGCCGAGAGCCTCCCAGGACCCGTGACCAGGCGGTGAGGCGCACACAGCTTACTGACTCGGGAAGTGACATTACTGGATGGGGGACCTCTGACCACCCACAAAAATAGCACATTTCTCATGTATCACCCACTTCAGCTAAACTTTAAATTCGGAAGAAAGTCAATTCCAGGGCAAAAGAAAAGCTGAGTAGGAGTAAAAGCAGACACAGGTCTTACTAGCCTTCTCTGACTTTTCTGTTGGTGGGAAACCTGGGATCAGGAGAACAAGTAATAAGCCCTTTGGGGAAGGGTAGCGAAGGTGCGATGGGCTGATCAGGTACTTCTATACTTTGGGAACTGAGATCTTCTAGCTCTTTTACTATTGAAATCTAGGGTTATGGTTATAAAGACTGGCTTTCCCGAAGTTACTGTCGGTCACCTTCCCCACAGAGCAGTCTATCGGATGCTTTCCTGTCCTCGTGGTGTCAAAGAATCAGACTCTTAGGGGTTTAGAAGAAACCTGGAAGCTTACCTGGCCTGATGTGAGTTTAGCTAAGTCACAGGATATGAGGTCAATTTACAAAAATCAGTCGTATTTCTGTATGATGACCAAAAAATGTTGGCCAATGAAATGAAACCAGAACAAAGCCGTTTTCCCATCCTGAGCGTCCCGTGTGGCCTGCACGAGATACAGGAAATGTGGCCCTGAGAGCCCAGGTGTCCTGTGCAGAGCCCCAGGGACAAGCTGCTGGGGGGACCACAGACCAGGCTGGGGCGGGGACAGGGACAGGCCCCAGAGTGAGGGGCAGAGCTGGCCGAGTGTTGGCACCTCTCTCCCAGGACAGGCCTGGACGAAGGGAGAGGCTGGGGTGAACTCACAAAGGTACCCCGCCTGCCACGCTCTTCTGAGGGGCCAGCTGAGGCTGGCAGGGCTCCGGCCTCTCTGGGTGCCCCTCCAGTCCTGCAGGGGGTCCCTTGGGAGCACACCTTAAAAAAGCACCAACAGCCCATGAGCTTCTGGCTCAGCGACTGCTCTGGGAGCACAACCGAGGCTCCTGCTTCATGACGACTCACACACAGCTACGGACACTAGACACCTGCGCGTGTGTGTCTACTCACTATGCTGGCGGAACCTGGTCTTTGCAGTGAATGCATCGTTTAGGACTTTCCATATAGGACTGTACATCATAGAGGCATAAAATTAGCTGCAATAAGCACATTTTTCCTACCAAAACGATAAGGTTCAATTTCTTCCGCTAAAAGAGATCAATAAAGTTCCTTCTCAAGAGCTCATCTATCTCAGTAATTTTTTTTTTCTTTTTAACCAGTACTATTTCAAATTAATTTATTATATATTCTACTACATAACTAAGAGAAAAATATCAGGATACCCTGGGGGAGGTGGTATAGGTTCACAGTTAATGACTCAGGCTCTGACACATAGGACAGACCCTCTGTGGATTAAGTTACTAAATCCTCGAATCTGTGGACTAAACTTTGTGACTTAAGCTCCCTGACTCTAGAACCAGTTTCCTTATCTGGAGAAAGAGGACGGTGACAGACGTTCCCTCCACGGCTACCACGGGAATGGAGAACGCAGACAAAAGCTCAGAGCGACACCTGGCGCGTCCGCTGGTATCCTGGGACGTAAATTCCCCTAAGAAGAGTCAGGTGGACAGCGAGTCACGTGGACAGCGTGACGGCAGTTTGTGAAAACTGCACACTTACTTGTAACGTAGTATCAAAGACCACAAGCTTTGAACTGGTGGGAACGATGTCGTAACACTTGTGTGACCTCATGAAGCGCGTGTAGACACCACTTTCTGAGTCTTCTGCTAAAAGGAAAGGAAAAAGGCATATATCAGCAACAGCGAAGGGCCTGCTATCAGCTGGTGAGCGTGCAGGAAAACCCACGGCCGACAGCCTTATGGACACAGTGACAGGCTTTCCCCGTAAGAGCGAGAAGGCACCGTGTTCATGCGTGCGGACCCCATCCACCACCGTCCCGGAGATCCTCGCCCCAACGGCACAGCAAGGAGAGGAACAAAGATTCTCTCAAAGCAGACTGAAAAGAAAGCAAAACTTTTTTTATTGGTAGACATAGATGATTTTTTACATAGAAGATACCAAAGAATCGAGAAAAAGCTCCCAGACGTGAAAGAATTGAGTTGAGCAAGGTCACAGAATGCAGCATTACTAAAAACAAAGAAACACATAATTTACAAAGAAACACTTAATTTACCCGAATGCTAAATGAAAATATGGATCTACTCAAGGAGACAAAGCACCAAAAACGGTAAGTCTGTGGACAAATGCACAGATTCTTTAAATCTCTGTAACAGTAGCGGACAGTCAGCAACAGGATGGCGAGGACTCGTGGGGGTCCGGCATCGTCACGAGCGAATGGCGTGCCGCCCCCGTCCTGCAGAAACCTGGGTTTCCTCTTCATCATGCCGCATCCCCCACCCTCCCCGGTTTCCCGTGAGGCCCGCAGAGTTGACCGCAAGTCTCTCTTGAATCCGTCCACTTCTCCCCACCTCCACGGCCCCTGGGCTGGGTCTGATAAATGGGGGGACACGTGCTTCGTCCGTCACCAGTGTCTGACGTTATCAGCATGGTGCTTGTTACAGTTCCCAAACCAGAAAAATAGTGACAAACAAACTGTTAACAGAAGCCCATGCGTTACTCAGAATTCCTCAGTTCTGATCCCTCCAGGATAGCATGTGACATTCAGCCATGGCTCCTTAGGCTGCTGTTGGCTGAGTTTCCAGAACCTTCCTCATTCTGATGGTCTTGAGGAATCCCGGGAGGCGCTGGGCAGGGAGCCCCCAGGCTGGAAGTCTGACCTGCTCCTCACAGTTAGTATGGGTTTGGAGGAGGACCTACAACATTTAAAAAAAATGTACAAAGCCCAACCAAAGAAAGCAAGATGTTAAATACGTAAAACAAATCATATCAAATTTACTTTGGTCTGGAATAAGGATAGAGGTTATCACTGTCGTAACAAAACCATATTGAGAACAAAGGTATTAGTATTTTAACTTAGGGAAATAAGATGAGCTATTATAAAATGTCACGGCTTCCCTACATTGAGTATAAACTTTCTGATTATACGTGGCACCATCTGTCTTATTTTCACCACGATCAAGTCTCAAATTACAACTGAAGAAAGAAATGCGATGAAATGGAAAGGAGGAGTTAAACTAAAAAGAAAAAAACGAAAAAAAAACCACAAAAAACCCCAACCATTCAACACTACCGGGTTGTTTGGGATGCATCATTAAGATTCCTGAGAACGCAAGAAGTTCCACCCCCCTTCTTCAAGGGTAACTGGGGTTAATCTATTACTGGGGTTGTGTTCTTGCTCCTGTTCTGTGTCACCGGCCAGAAGCAGGATCACGGGGCATTACGTGGGCAATGGTGTCCCTGGGTAGGAGAGGGACCCGCTGGGGGTGATGTGAAAACCCACCGGCCCTCCAGCTGCACGCTACCCCACTGCGGGCGAGGCGGCCGCTACCGAGCGCTACTGGGAAGCAGAGTATGTGTCAGGGTGTTGAGTTTCTGAAGGTTGACGAACGGTCTGAGAATGGAGCATCGCAGTGTAAGTGCGACAGTCGTGCGGGCCGGGCAGAACGGCGTGGAAGCAGGCATCCCCTCGGAGCAGACCTGACGGCGCCCCCTCTCCGCCCCCAGCCCTCACTAGGGCACCAGGCACCGCACATCCATCAATCGAACTTTCCAGCCACCTCACCCCACCCACCCTCCCGGCCTCCTCTCCTGCCACCCACCCCCCCAGGATTCGTCATCCACTCTCAGACCCCATTGATCCGTCCTTTTCAAAGGCTTTTTTGAAGTCTGGGAAGTTCAACTTGGGGAATGTGCTCGCTGGGTTTCTGCCTCGGCTCCGCTCACGCTGATCTCTCTCCTGAGAACGCCTCACCCCCGCATGACGGCCTCCCGACATCCTGCCGGCCTTCTGTTCGCTGCCCAGTGGCTCCCCTGAAGCCCAGCTGGGACATTAGACAAGACTTTATTTGGAACAAAGGTCTTTGCAGATGTAACGACAGGAAGGACCCTGAGATGAGATCGCCTGGATTAGGCTGGGCCCTAAATCCAGAGACCACGGATCTCATCAAACAGAGACGCCGAGACACAGAAAGAAGAGAGGCCCTGGGCCGGGGACGCCGAGGGCCGCAGGCAACTCCCGGAAGCCGAGAGAGAGGCTGGGAGTGGACTCCCTTGCAGGGCCGCCAGCGGGGACCCACGCTGCCATCCTCTGAATAAAGCTCTCCCATCCGAAGTTGTCATCTGTGGCGGTCTGCAGCGGCTCGGGAAACTGATGCAGCTTCCCAGTGGAGTTCAAGGGCCCGGAACACCTTCCTCGGAGGACCTCAAGTGAGAAGTAATGGCTTGTTCTGACAACCTCTTAGTGCTTTGCAAGTAATTCACTTCTGAGTGTCGTGTGCCTTGTACTGAAGTTACGGGGCTGCCTTCCTCTTACCCTGCGGCTTCCCGAGGCGCCGGAAAGGCACCCGGCCCAGCCAGTTCCCAGCAGGTGCCAGGACAAGTCATGCCTGCTTGTGGGTCAAGTGCAGAGGACGGAGTATGAGTCCAAGCTTCTGTACAGCACGTCTATCCTTCGAGAGAGAAATCCTAACAGAGGACCCCAGTTTAAAAGAATACTGGTGAATCTAGATTTAACGATCAGTAAAGAAACTTTAATACCTTTGTAAGACTAAAGGATTGAAAAGGGATGTTTTCTGTCATAGAAATAATGCATCTATGATCGTATCCCAAGCAATTTTCTTTTTAAAGCGGAACAGCATTAATTTAAAGCTTTAAAAGTGTTTGTAAACATATTTTATATTGAGGCTATTTTCTAATTCTCTGGGACAAAAAAATGTAACTGAATTGAATACAACTGCAGAGGCATTAAAATGTGCACATGGTTGTAGAATATATTTTAAAAACCTGAAAATACAGCAATACCACTTGATGAGTTCATATTTCAGAGATAATCACTAGAGTCCTAAATTACTTTTTATAAAACCTGTTCACATAGACTTTTAACTTAGAACGCATTTGTAAAAAATGAATTCTAAGATGATGTGATTCTTTGGTATTTCTGCCTTAACTACAGGAAACAAAGAAGACAGACTGCCACCGATAATTAGTCTAAAAAAGGTAAGATGAGGTGGCAGGTGGAAGGTGCTAGAAGGCTGGCTGGGAGTGGCTCGCAGATGGCTCTCCTTGCGGATGGGAGAGAAAAGCGCAGGGGCTGGTTCCAGTGACCTGAGATTCCCTAAGCACGTGACCACACCCGCAGCAGCCGGGTTCATTCTGCCTGCTCTGGGCCACATGTCCCAGCAAACCTCTCGGCAGAATCCGAGTCAGAGGACGTAAATTAAGCCCGTACAGGAGAAGGGGACTGTGACTGCTCGTATTGTGGTGCTGTTCTAACTCAATCAGCCATGGGCATTCTTCCCAGAAGCCAGTCTATGAACAGAGCTGCGAGGCCTGGGGGCTTAAGGACCGAGGCAAGTGTGTGACCCTCAGAGGGACTGGCGGTCTCTCCTTGGGGGCCGGCTTTCCAAGCTACTGTCCAGCCACCACACAGAAGAGGCTCTGCTTGGCCCCGGCTGCAACACACACCTGACTCCAAGCCACGTCCCGTCTCCTTCATTTACCAAGACTTAACACTGCTCTTACAGTCATCAGTGATCAGAGCAACAGATCCAAACCACGTCTCAAAGAGATGAGTGAGCACAAGTGGGAGGGGCAGATGGAGAGGGAGAGACTCCTAAACAGACTCCCTGCTGAGCACAGAGCCTGACTTGGGGCTCGATCTCATGACCCCAAGATTGTGACCTGAGCCAAAACCAAGAGTTGGATGCTTAGTTGACTGAGCCACCCATGCGCCCAGGATGAAGGCATTTTATTATTTTATTATTTTTTTTAAAAGATTTTTATTTATTTATTTAAGAGAAAGAGAAAGAGAGCACAAGCAGGGGGAGAGGCAGAAAGAGAGGGAGAAGCAGACTCTCCGCAGAGCAGAGAGCCCGACGCAGGGCTCAATTCCTGGACCTGGAGATCACAACCTGACTCAAAGCCAGACACTTAACCGACTGAGCCACCCAGGGGCCCCAATGAAGGCATTTTAAAACAAAATTCACATATCACCCCAAACTTCACTTAAAACCCCCCTGAAACCAAAAGCCCCAACCCCTTATTTCCAATCCCCATAATTTTATCTTAATATACAGACATGTCACTATAATTACCCAAATGATCACTGTTTTTAAAAAATGTATTTTATTCTTCATTCTACATTTTGAAACACAAGTTTAATAGTAAATTAAATAGTAAACTAAAATACACAAATGGGGGGGCGCCTGGGTGGCTCAGTGGGTTAAAGCCTCTGCTTTCGGCTCAGGTCATGATCCCAGAGTCCTGGGATCGAGCCCCATGTCGGGCTCTCTGCTCAGCAGGGAGCCTGCTTCCCCCTCTCTCTCTGCCTGCCTCTCTGATTGTGATCTCTCTCTGTCAAATAAATAAATAAAATCTTAAAAAAATAAATAAAATAAAATACGCATATGGTAGTTTTTTTTTTTTTTTTAGAAAACCATTTAAAATAGTTGAGCAAGAAATAAGTGAAAATGGGGAATGTGGAACTTAAAGTATATGGGAAAGCCCAGACTCTCGTAGTTTTTCCTAAAGTGCTTAGAAACACAAATGTTAACAAAGTCAATGCTTAAATGTAATTTTACAGGTAATAAGGTTTACCCCCTAATTGGTCTTTTCCAAGAACTAGGATCTTGTTTTTCTTAAGAGGAAG